TCAGCAAAGCAGTAGTACCTCTTTGTCATGTTGGCACCTGAAAACAAAGAGCAGCTTCCGGGATATTTTGAAGATCGAAAGTGCTGTCTTCTTGCCAGGCCCGTTTGCATCAAAAAAGTCATCCACTTCTCTCCTGGGGAGCACAATGGAAAGTCCAAAAGAAAAGATACAATGTAATTTGAGAAAGGCTGGTGCGTGCAGGTGAGGTAGATGCCCCCCCCTTCCATGACAAATGGCGACACTGTTCAGGTCTTTCCTCTGGATAGAGGCAGCAGAAGGAGCTACAGATCGGCTCAGAGCATACATGGCAGAACAGGCCAAGATGCCCACACACAATGACTGACTTAAGATATTTCTCTTGCTACACTGGGTAGGAAGTTCAGGAATTTGCCAGCGCCCTAGAGAGTCAAAGGGCCCACCAATGCCCCAAGAGCAATGCCACGCTCACTTTGCTCAGAGGATCCAAAAAGTTCAAAGGCAGCAGGAGAGGATTTGGATCTTGCAGCACCCCCCTCATTGAAGACAAGGGACCCTGGGAGCCAGCAGTGGCATAGCCACTGGCAAAAGGCTTCAGTCCCCAGAGGCCAAAAGCCAACTCCACCCAGCACCTGCACACGCTTTGCACGCACCTGATTTCCCGCTGCAAACGACAGCGGCACAAGAACCTTCGGACAAGGGCCTGGATCTGCACTGCCGCTCGCTCGCGCTCCTTCAGCTCCCGGCGCTCCTCACGCGCCTGGCGCGCCTTGTCAAGGAACTGGGCCTTAGACAACTGGGCTGCGCTGAACATTTTGGAGGTCTCTGGCAACAGGAGGAGAGGGGAAGGACAAGCTGGGAAAGCTGTGCCACACCTGCTTGCATTGCCTACAACACTACCACACTATGGAACAGAACTCCTCTTGGGTTCTGCCGAGATCCCTTTACTCACTTACCGTCAGGTTAGCTACTGAACAGGCATCCTTTATTTTGGGCACCCCTTTTCTAGCATCACCCGGAGTTCTGTTTTACAAAAGGAAAGGGTCCAGCTAACACAGCATCCTGCAAATTGAACCCTTGAACCTTCTCTATTCATGTTTTGATTCAGATGGTGAGCTTTTAGGCAGAGAGCTGCTCCTTCACAACTACACGGAGCACTTTCCCGAACATTAAATGAAAACGATCTCCCTCAGCCTTTCCCTACCTGGACAGGTGAGGTCTTTGGGATGAAGCGGAAGTGGCTGTCTGGCATGAGGCTCGAGCCCACCGCATTCAGAGAACCAGGCAAAGGCTTGCGGCTAGCAGACCGGAAAGCGGGGCTCCCAAACGGATCTAGGGCGCTCCTCCTGCCCGGTCTCCCCTGCCCCACCCAGGACTTCCCTCCTCACCCCTCTCTCTCTCTCTAGCCGAGGCAGAGGAGCTCTCGGGCCGCTTCCGTGCGCAGCGGCTGCGCCATTCGGGAGTCGAGGAGGCCCTCCCGGGCTCTGCGGGGAGAGGCAGGAGGTCACTGGAACCTCGCCCCCGCCGCGAGCTGCGCCTCACGACCCTCCGGCTCCGCGCCAGCGAGGGCGGCGCCAACGCCGCGTCCTACCTGCCAGGGTCGTCGGGAGCTCCAAGGGGAGAGACAGAGAGAGAGAGAGAGAGAGAGTTTATGTATGTATGACCCGCTAGTTGTTAGGCGCTGTCCGGCTTTGCCTTTGCCCTTCCTCCTCCTCCTCCTCCTCCCCCTCCGTCGCCTCGATAACGGCCGCCTCCCCCCCCTTCCCCCCCAAAGAACTCCAAGGAGGACCGCCAGAAACGGACCATAGAGTCAAGGAAAACACCGGCGCTTCCGGCCCTTGGGAAGAAACCGGCCGCTGGCCCGGAAGTCCCGCCTCTCCTCCCGCAGCCGGAGCGCAAGAGGCATAGAGATGGAAGGAGGGCTAGACTTGCCCAGTCGCGACCAGCGCTCCCAGGAGCTGGCCCTGCCCGTCGCTTTCATTCCTCCGTCCGGAAACTCAGGTCCTTGGGATTTGGGTTCCGCCCACCTCCTTGTGGAAAAAGCCGGGGAGGAACGCAAAGGAGCATGGGTAGAATCGGGGTGGGGCTCGGCAGAAAAGTTTTTGGGGGCGCCCCGCCCCTTCCTCGCGTGCGTCACCCGCTGCTTCTTCCTCGTCTTCGCCTCGGGACCTGGTTGGCTGAGGGAGGCCTCGCGAGGGGCTGTTCATGGTGAGCAAGGGGGGGGAGAAGGAGGGGGGACCTGGGGGGTCTGGTGAGGAAGCCCTTGGGGCGGGGGGGGCCTCTTAGGGCCCTTTGGGGCAGAGCCCAGGGAAAGGGGGCGACCTCTTCTCCTCCTCCTCCTCCTCCTCCTCCTCCTCTCTGGCTTCCGAGACCCCGTGTCTTTCAGCGGGGAGAAGTTTCGAGTGGGCCCCAACCCCCCCCGGCCTCCCTCAGTCTGCCCCCCCCCGGTGAGCAGGAGGATGAAACCCAACATCAATAAAATCAGTTCCGATTATGATGATGATCTGTTCTGTGGGGCCATCAATGTGCGTGGCATTTTAGAGCTTGGCCCGGAGGGGAGGCGGGGCTTAGGAGGGGATAAACTGTGCATTAAATGCCCAGCCCCCTTCTCCAACCTGGTGCCCTCCAGATGACAACTCCCATCAGTTCTCATCAGCACAACTTGGGAGTTGTAATAATATTTTTTGGTACCCCGCCCACTTGACTGGGTTGTCCCAACAACTCTGGACAGCTTCCAACATATATTAAAACATAACAGAGCACTAAACATTGAAAACCTCCTATAAGCCTTCCGGTGTCTTCTCAAGTGGTCCCAAGTCATCTGGAGGGAGACAGACTGTTCTTTCAGTGCAAATCCTATGCAGGTTTACTCAGAAGTGATCCACACCTTGGATGCCCCTGGGGGCAGGGGAGAGGATAGCAAATGGGATGCCATGAGACAGTCTTGTGGGTCACCAACGGGGAGTGCATACGTGAGGCAGGGAGTGAATTCATCAGATGAAACTGTTGGACCAAAAGAAGGACTTCTTCACTCAACACACCATTGTCCTATGGAACTCACTGCAAGAAGATGTGGGAATTGGGACTTCCGGGTTGACGCGATCGGCTAATGGCGGATTTCCTCCGAGCTCCGGAGGGAATCGGCTCTGCTGAAGACGGGTCTTGCCGTGCCGGCGACACGGGGACCCTCAGAAACCACAGGCGCGGATGCCTGTGGACTTGGTGACTCAGTGGGCACCTTAAGCGCCCTCCCTGACCCACGAAGAGCCTTTTTAAAGGCTACGGAGAGGGTACGGAGAGTGGCGTGGTGCTGGGAGTAGACCGCTACTTCAGTGGAGCGAAGCCGCGAGCCATGGCCGGAGAGCGTTAACTTTCTTCCCGAAATTTGGACTGGAAACAAAAACCTGTGAGTACAGGGAATTCGGATTTTAAAAATTTCTACCTTTAATTCGGTACGACCGGGGGGATGTGCTAAAGGGAAGTCCGCACCCCCCTATCTACAAACGATCTAAAGCAAGGATCAGAGAACTAAGGTTGAGAGAACAGTGTGTTTTTGATGTCTGATAAAAGATATTCCACGAATTTGATAGAAGAAGTTTTTTGTGCTGGAGGGAAGAGAGGAGCGTCAGGAAAATTTGTGTAACCCCCCCCTCCTGAACCCGGGAGCGTCCTGCGTGTGAGTCCTACGAAAAGGAATAAGGAGTTTGACAGCTGTCAAAGGAGCTGTCAAACGGGTCGACAAAACTAAGAATCGAATTACTTAATATCTCTCTGGACTAAAGGTGTTACATTTTACTAGAAGTGGTTGGAAACAAAGTAATAATAAAAAACAAAGTAACGGACTGTTGGAAAGGAAAGTAACTTAATTGGAATCCCCCTAGGGGGAACTAGTGACATTACAATGGCTGCAGAGGGAAAATTACTGGCAGAAATTGAAAGAGCTTTTTTTCTCGTGGGAATTCTGCAAGAACAGAGTATGGCTATGAACAAAGAACTCACGACCTTGATTTCTAAAACAAACAACCCTGCTGACGGAACAAAGGACTTGACTGGGGAAAAATATGCAGCTGAATCAGAAGCGACATCTGTGGAATTGGTGGAAAAGGAAGAAGGAGGGGAGAAAGTACTGGCAGAAAATACCAAGCAGAAGCCTATGTTGTCAGAAAATGAAGCAGAAGATTTCTGGATTACAAATTTGGGAAAGATGAGAAGGATGAGAAAAGCAAAGGAGGAAGTCTCGAGATTTTTTGGAATAATGGATTTTAAAAGAGGAAAGAAACATGATTGGGACTTCCTCTTCTCTTCTGAGTTTGAGTATGGGAGATCTATGGCAGATCTTTGGCAGCAAGTTCTTTCAACTATCTTGGACGCAAGAGAAGGAGATGTGGCTGTGACAGATCACCCTCGAGACCTGAGGTCCAACAAAAAGGACTACCAACAAAACCGACAGAGAGAGACTGACAGAGATTTAAAGGCCTCGGATGTGAGGAATCCGGGCTAGGAACTGTATGGGTGGATAATTATTTGGGAAGGGACGGAAACCGGGGTAGGGTGGGAGGGGGAGAGCAGAAGTTGGAAAATTTATGACTTTTGTGTTTGGTTATTTTGACTTATATTTTAATATAAAAAAGGGGAAATTTGTGGATGAGAAATTAGGTCGACCTTAGAAAAAAAGGATTTGATGTTAATAAGAGAATGGGATAAGTAAAATTTGACTTAGTAAAAAGAATCAAGTTTAAAAACAACAGATTAGGTTAAAGGAAGGGATAAAAACTTGCTGAACTAACTTTGGAAATTGGGATGTAGGAGGGGGGGTGGGGGGAAGTCAGGGAAAGAGGGATAAGAAAGCAAGGATATGAAATTATACGTGTTTTGTCTTTGTCTTTTTTATGTGTGTGTTGTCTTTATAAAATTTGAAAACCCAATAAAAATTTAAAAAAAAACAAAAAACAAGAAGATGTGGGAATTGCTGTTAATGGGTCGTGATGGTTCTGGGAAGGTGAGAAGGAGGTATTGGGGGAGGCCAGGCAAAGATGGGGCATACAAGAAAGGTTTAAGAAGCGGGTGGACTGTTGAATATTTTAGTTTGTTCCATGTGGACACTTTGCATGGGGACTCTCCCTCTGTAGGGAAAGTCCACCAAACATTCTGCACTGGAGTCTTTAGAAAACCAGTCAAGACCATTCTCTCCCACCAGCTTTTTGAGAATAGGGGATCAGTTTAGGGTGCTCTATTAGAACAGTCTTTCCCATACCTTGGTGCTCTCCAGGGGCTTTGGACAACAACTCCTGCCAGCCTTAACCAGCACAACCATGGGATTTGTAGTCCCAAGATATCTGAAGAGTGCCAGTTTGACATAGAGCACGGGTGTCAAACACAAGGCCCGCGGGCCGAATCCGGCCCGCCAGACCTCGTCATGTGGCCCGTGTAGCCGCCGGCGGCCGCCAGCCTTCACCTTTTATTCTCTAGTCACTAGAGGAACCCCGGGGATCCCTTTCCAAGTCTACCATCCTAATCGAAGCCTAGGACAGTTGTGTCGGCAGCTGAAGCTGCAAAAAGAGAGACCAAAACAAAACAAAACCCTATTAGATTCGGAAGGAACCGCAGGAGCTCCTGGCTGTGTGGGGAGCACCGCTCTTCCCCTCCCCGCAGCTTCCCAGCCAAGAGACACATGCAGCCCGGCCTGCCCGCTTCCCCCTGCGAGGCGGCGCGCTGTGGGCGGGGATGGGGGGCTGGAAGGAGGCGGTGGAGAAAGCGAAGGCGCTCCCTTCCCGCGCCGTTACTCGGCCGGCCTGAGAGAAAATTTCTGAGGCGGCAGCGGCCTTCGTCCAGGGTCGGGGGGCCATGGCGGGACTTTGCCCTCCCGGCGGCCTGGAGCATCTGGAGCTGGGGCGGCTGCGGAACCCGCCGGGCAGCGGCGGCAGAGTCGTCGTCGGCGCTTCTTCTCCTCCTCCTTCATCTTGCTCGCCGTCGCCGCCGCTCTCGTCTTGCTCGAGGCAGGCCTGGAGCCGGGACAACCCGGGCTTCGAGCCCGAGGAGGAGGTTGCCGAGCAGCCGCCGCCTCGCCACCTCGCCTGGGCCAAAGGGATGGCGCACCGCCTGTGAGGTGAGTCGCCACCCGGCCGGGCCCTTCCGTCGCCCTTCCCGGCTCGCATCTCTCCTGTTTCACCTTATTACTTTTATGTTACTCGCGAGTCTTCTGCTCTGAAGACAGATGCAAATAATCCGTTCAGCTCCTCTGCAATCTCCTTTCCCACCTTTAGCACACCTTTGGTTCCCTTGTTGGCCAAAGGCTCTACCACAGACATGTCCAAAGTCCGTTTTGGGGGCCTAATACAGCCCCTTCGGCAGTTTATGGGGTAAAATCCTCAAAAAAACCCTCAACAACTTCAACCCTAAAAAAAAAAGCTCAACAATTTCAATCCTGAAAAAAGTGCAACAACTTTGGTTGGCCCTCATGGCCCTTCACTTCATCAAATCTGGCCCTCCTTGAAAAAAATTTGGGCACCACTGACATAGAGTGTATTAGAGTGTTGAACTAGATGATCCTTGGGGTCCCTTCCAATGTACAATTCTATGATTCTATCTGACTGCTCTGCTTCCGGTTTGTATTTTTAGACGGATGTGTGTTTTGTAGTAAATTTGTGTTATTGTGAGCCACTTAGGGATCCTCTGAAAGGCATGAAGATATGAGGAAAGTCTTTCAAACTCCCCACCCATCCCTTCTCTTTATTTCATGTTATTATAAACATATGAACTGATTTACTTGTGCTCCGTTAAGGATCGCAACAAGATGGAAGGTAAGACCTTTCACTTACAAACCCATCGTGTCATAAACTATCCAAGCATAATTCAACTAATGTCTCGCCTTTATATCGGCTGCGAAAAGTCTTTAAATGGTTCCAAATTATACTTGTGTTTTACCTACTCCATAAAGGGCAACTGGGTTCTCTCTGCTCTGTCTCTCTTCTCTTAATCACACCATCTCGGTAAGCTTAGACATTGCAGCAGCAGCAGCAGCACAACATGTATTATTAAGTCAGTCTTGTTCACTTGGAATTTACTTGAATTAGCCTTTGGGCTGCTGTTAAGCACAGTGCCTGCTCAGCTCACCCCAGAAGCGTACCAGGAATATCTAAGTCAGATTCTCCCCCAGTCACAGAAATGTTGCTATCCTTTTTCCTCTTGGCTCTTCCTTTCCTAGCTGGGTTGTTTTCAATCCTGACTTGTCAGGTTTTATCTAATGCGTCCCTGAGATAAGGTGGGAATTGGAGCTCCCCTTGACTGGTAACAAGATGCTGCATGAAACATTCAGCACTCTGTTTCAATATTAATTGACTTCCTCCCTTGCCTTCAGGCAGCCTAATAATTTAACCATGGCCTTAAAGCTCTCCCCTCTGACAAAGCTCTTTCATTGGCTTTGTGATGGTGAGTGGGACTTTAATTTCCCCTCTGTGCAAAGCTGGAGGCCCTGATAAACTCATTCTTCTGAGGTGGCTGATGATCTAAGTTTATTGTTAGCACAGAAGCCTGGCCAGGCCTGATAAAGTGAAAAAGAACCTTTCTGCCACTTGTCACTGCCCCAGGAGATTTCCAAACCTGATAGATCTCCAATGCAGCCCTTGATAAGGTCAGAGAAGGGCTCCTTCTAGCTAGTGACTCATGCCTGCTTTGTCCATTGCAGAGGGATAACTTTGCTGTTTTGTGGTACCTCTAAAGACCTCATGTGTTTGTTTTGATAGGCTCTCACTCACAATGGGTGGGGTGGGGTGTAGCACAGCCATTTTCATACTGCTTATTCTGGGCTTATTCAGAAGCTTTTGGGGCACGGGGCACCTTTGGAAAGAAGCGATAAAGGGGACCACAAAATGCCAATTCCACAGAAAATAAACCAGCAGTTCTCGGAACTCCACCCATTTCCAAAATGGCAGGGAAAACCTACACCCACCTACACCAATAGACAAAGGAACCCCTCCCCAAAATATGTGCCCCCTCCAACCAAACAACTCCCTCCCCAAGCAATTTAAAAAAACAGAGCGGAGGACTTGGGCAAGGGCCATGGGAGGGTGCTGTTGGGGACCCCAAGCTTAGGCTCTTGTAGATCACAAGTTGGCAGCTATTAGGAAGAACTTTATCTAACACCAGGGCTGTGTCACTTGAGGTTGGAATCCTTTTGACAGTCTTAAATGCAGGAGGGTGAGAAGACGTCTGTTTGTAGAATAACTCTCTGGCTGATGTTTAGGGAAAGGAGGGGCAGGTGGGAAGAACAAGAGAGATTGCTCCATTGTCTGTACTGCTTGCACTGTGGAAAAGCTGACGGAAGAGCTTCTTGGGACTTAAGCTGAAATTCCTTGGCTGAATTCAAAATAAGCCAAGCCCTTACTGCAGAGAAAGGCAGCGTTGTGAACTGGCTTTGGTGGGGAGGGAGTCACTCAGGAGTCAGCCATGAAGATGATAAGCACACATATAACCTGACCAGGACACTAGCTGGAGGTGAATCATCAACCTCCCCCCCCCCAGCCTGAAGCAGCTCATCTTTTGCTTGCAATTCAGTTCTTACACACTCTCAAAAGTATTTGAAAAGGCCAATGAGAGCAACTGAGTGATGAAATTATGCAAAAATCCTGACGTTTCTCTGAGAAGTCCTGGCACTAGTTTCCTTATTGAGTTTTGCCAAGACACTTCCTGCTGCCTTGCACTGTGTACCCACACTGCACCCATGTGAGAGCCCCATAACTAGCAACAACATAAGAAGAACCTGCTGGATCAGGCCAGTGGTCCCTCATTCTGTTCCCACGGTGGCTAACCAGGTGCTTCTTTTAAAGCCATCTAAGTTAGTGGCTATCCCTGCCTCCTATGCACTGCTTGAAGAAGTCCCTCTGGAGTCTTCCAGTGTTCAGCATCATTGGATGCCCATGAGTTCTAAAGTTCTGAGAGAGAGAAACACTTCTCGATCCACTTTCTCCATGCCAGGTATCATTCAATAAAACTACCCTGTTGCCTCTTACTTGCCTTTTCGCTATACTACAAAGTCCCAAATGCTGCACCCTTTCGGCATAGGGGCATTTCTACATCCCCTTTATCATTTGGTCGCCCTTTTCTGAACCTTTCTTGCAACTCCCAGCCTTTTCTCTTAGGAACGAAGGGTGACATACACTGTTCCCTCCCTCATTTAATCCCCATGACAACCCTGTGAGGGAGGTTAGGCTGAGAGACTGTGGCTGGCACCCAAAGTCACCAAGTGAACCTCATGGCCAAGTGGGGATTTGAACCCTGGTCTCCCAGGGCCTAGTCCAACACTAACCGCTGGCCCCCATGCCTTGACTCCCCTTCCACAACTTGGCGCCACCCCATTTCCTTCTTCACTGGGACGCCTATGAAGCCCAGCCTGCAGGCAGGCAGGCAGGCATCTGGAGGTGGCTGTTTGTCAGTGCCAGACTCTGCTTACATTCTTCCCAGCCCAGGTGGGCTGCTGCCTCTGTGTCCAGTGCCTGAGGCCAGAGATGGCCCCTGAGCAGCAGGAAGCTGGACCCGAAGGGCCTTGGCTCCAGTCCAGCTGGGCTCCTCTTGGTCCGACCTGTTTAGGATGCACAGGTAACCAGAGGGGCACGAGGGTCCTCACAGAAGGCTCCTTTGCTCTTGCAGGAAGAGATGTCTGGAGAAACGGTGGTGAGCACTGCAGTGCCAGCAGCCGCAACCCGCACCATGTCCTTCAAAGGCGCCAGCCCCAGTTCCAAGTATGTGAAGCTGAACATCGGCGGAGGCCTGTACTACACCACCATGCAGACGCTGACCAAGCAGGACACCATGCTCAAGGCCATGTTCAGTGGCCGGATGGAGGTCCTCACCGACAGCGAAGGTAATGGAGGCCTCCTGGCCAGGAGGGACGGCAGGGCCAAGATGGGCAGGTGGCCGTTTGAGGCTCCCGTTAGCCTCACTCAATCTCTTTGCATTAATAAAAATGCACTATGCAGCACATAGTTAAACTATGGAACTCCCTGCCACAGGAGGCAGTGGGTAGCCACTAACTCAGATGGCTTCAGAATAAGATGGGACAAATCCATGGAGGAAAGGCTGTCGATGGCTACCAGGCATGGTGGCTATTCTCTGCCTCTCTGGTCAGAGGCAGTAATGCTTCTGAATCCCAGTTCCTGGAAACCACAGGAGGGGAGAGAGCTCTCGTCCTCAGTTCTGGCTTGCGGGTTTCCCAAAAGAGGCATCTGGTTGGCCACTGAGATGGCCAGATGCAGCAGGCTCCACTTACATGCTAACAACTGAAAAAAAATAGAATTATAATGCTAGACTCAAATGTATCAGGCAGTTCATAGTCTAATGAATGATGATGATGATATTCAAAAAAATTGCCACTTGTTCTGTGATGGACTTGTCGGAGCCCTGAAGCAAAGTTTCCCTTTTTTTAAAATTCTTTTTATTAATTTCAATTAACCAAACAAAAACAAAGAGAACAATACACACAAAAAACACAGCAAAAACTAATTAACAACATAACAATAACTGACTTGAAGCAGAGTTTTCCTAAGAGTCTCTGAAGGTTGGTCAGGGAGGAACCAAACAATGGGCTAGATGAGGTCTATCATGGAAGCTGCCCTATCTAGTCCAGCCTCCTGTTCTCACAGGGAACCCGATGCCCCCAAGGGAAGCCCGCAGGCAGGATCTGACCCCAGAGCCCCCAGCCTTCAGAAGCATGGCTGCTTTGGATTGCGAGGCAAAGCACCATCCCCGTGGCTAATAGCCTTGATCCTCTAGGAATTTGTTCCCTCCTCTCTTAAGGCCACCCAGCCGCCCAGAGTGGCGAGGGAAACCCAGACAGATGGGTGGGGTATAAATAATAAAGTTTTTATTTCTTCTTCTTATGCAAGTTGGTGGCCATCCCGGCCTCCTGTGGGAGCGAGTAAGAGCAATACAGACTTTTGCACCCTGATTTTAAGAAAACCTGCAGGTTTAATCGCCGTAAGGGCAAAGTAGAGCAAGATAGCAGGGCTGGAAAGATAGACTGTCCCTTGTTCCATTTGGAGCTGTTATGTAAAACTCGTGGCTTGGAGAACTAAGAGCATAATCAGATTTTCACTGTAAGGCCATTAATTCAAGGCACCCATGAAATCCTTTGGCCTGCATTGCCCTTATTTGTTGAAGGCAAGCGTCTGTCCTGCACAAGCTCCCCCCCACCCGCCACCCTCCTCAAATGCATTCTTGTCTCTCTGCCCATAAACCAAAGCCTTTGGTCTGTTTAGGGCTGGCTGTGCCTTGCTGATGATTGCGCAGGAAGCTTCCCTCTGAGAAACTGCTTCTCTGGCTGTGTTCAGTCAAGGGCTAGGAGAGGGAGCTGAGGGGGGAAGAAAGAGGAGGCACCCTGTTCCATTTCACTTTTTCATTTTCACTGATCGCACCCTAATAAACAGAATATGCCGGCAGCAGGAGATTTTCTAGGGAGCCCTCTTACCTCCTAGATGCCCTTAGCTGGCCCTTTTGCCCCTTTCTTTAATATTAGGGGGGGGATTAGAGAAATGATTCGCTAGCTTTCAGGGATTCTTTACCTGTGATTCCTGCCTTGCAGGGGGGTTGAACATAGCAAGGAGTGGAACTCCATGGCCCTTCAGGTCCCTTCCAACTCTATGATTCTATGAATCTGTTATTTTGTTGGGTCACTTGCTCTAGGTAACCAGGAGGCCACTTGGGGGCATGTAAGCCCAGCATTGCAAATGAGCCATCCAAAATGACAGCCCACAAATATTTTTACTAAACTGACGGGTGTTTATTTCTTGGCCGCTGATCATGGCACTTCAGTGAACCTGAAACGAGTGGGGAGGGGCTTCCTTTCCCAGTTTCCTGCAGCTGATTCCTATTTTGTCCAGGCAAGTAGTAAACTTGCATTAGCATTCCAAAATGTTCACAGGGCACCTCCTTTTCTAAAGCTTTATAGATCTTCCATTGCCCACACCCAAAATCCTGCTTGGGACTTGAGATCAGCCCAAGAGGCTCTACTCTCTGCCCTGTCATTACATGAGATGCTATAAGCAGGTGCAAGAGGTGACCCCTTTTTGTGGCGGCCCCAGGATTGCAGACTAGCCTCCCAGTGGGAATCTGCTTGGCCACAGATGTTCCCCATCTCCGCTGCAAGGTATTTAGGCACCCCAAACCTTGGCCTGTTGGTGGTCCTCTCACTGGTAACAGGGAGACAGTGGTTTTGTTCTGCTCTCCTCCTTTGCCTCTTCCTCCATTAATTTTCATCTGCTGTTGTCTCAGGCTGGATTTTGATTGACCGCTGCGGTAAACATTTTGGGACCATCTTAAACTACCTGCGTGACGGTGCTGTACCCCTTCCAGAGAGCCGGCGGGAGATAGAAGAGCTGCTGGCAGAAGCCAAATATTATTTGGTCCAAGGTCTGGTGGATGAGTGCCAGGCTGCCCTACAGGTAAGCAGGTACTTGAGAACCCACAGTGGCTACAAAAGCCCTTTTGTTGTTTGCCTTGGTGAAGAGAGGTGTCTTCAGTTGGCGTCAAAACTTGTGCAATGCAAATCCCATAGTGAGGGTGCCACCACAGAAAAGGCCCTGTCTTGAGTCACTGCCTGGTGTACCTCAGTTCCTGGTGGGTCTTCAGCTGGGCTAGTAGGTTCTTCCCGGTGAGTGCCTGACTTCTCTTCCACCTCTTGCTTGCGTTCTGATTGGGTCTCTCGTTTCAGCAGAACAAAGAGGTCTACGAGCCCTTCTGCAAGGTGCCCATCATCACATCCTCCAAAGAAGAGCAGAAACTTATAGCCACATCAAACAAGGTGAGCAGCTCTTTCGATGAGAAGAGCTGTGTTTTAAGCTTGGCATGTTCACAAACTACACATTCCCGCCTGGTTTTCACTTCAATACCTGTACAATTTGGCTGTGATTCCTGCATTGCTTAGGGTTGCACTAGATGACCTTTAGGTCCCTTCCACCTCTGTGATTAAGTGTTGGGCATCTCTGCCTTCCCTTAGGAACTGGGTTGGGGGTGCGGTGGAGAATTACCTGCCTCTTTACTCTTTCTTTCTCCTCACTGGTTCCCACCAGACCTTTATCTTCACCTGTATTCTGTCTTTGAAACTTAGATTGTTAAACCTGCAAGAGCAGGATCGTATTACAGCACCCTGACATTTATATGGGGCCAGAATATAAACACTTCAGTAGAAACATAGCAAAGGGGTGGCTACTGAGAGCCAGTGTGGTGTAGTGGTTAAGAGCGGTAGTCTCGTAATCTGGGGAGCCGGGTTCGCGTCTCCGCTCCTCCACATGCAGCTGCTGGGTGACCTTGGGCCAGTCACACTTCTTTGAAGTCTCTCAGCCCCACTCACCTCACAGAGTGTTTGTTGTGGGGGAGGAAGGGAAAGGAGAATGTTAGCCGCTTTGAGACTCCTGAAGGGGAGTGAAAGGCGGGATATCAAATCCAAACTCTTCTAACTGTGACCCTCTGGATGTTGGGATCCCAACTCCCATCAGCCCCAGCCTGCATGACTTCGTGATCAGGGAAGATGGGAGTTGTAGTCCAGTAATAACTGGAGGGACACAGCTCAGCCATCCCTTGACAGAAAGATGGACCTATCATAATGGGCAGGTCTGTTCATGGTTGTACATGGCCATGAATGTAACCTCTGTGTACAGAGGCAGTCTACCTGTGGATATCACTTGCTGGCAACAAAGGGAAGAGGGCCTTGGTGAGAAACACAATGTCAGAGCTTTGGTCTGACGCTCCTGCAGGGCTCTTCTGATATTCTAAAGCAGCTGCATTCTGTACCAGAGCTCATGTGCAGGAGGCAGTTCCGAGTCTTAACCCTCCACCGTGGCTTTGCCCTCCCACTCTGCATCCTGCAAAGTTTATGACTGATTGATTGATTGAATTTGTAGCCCACTGTTCAGCCAGAGAGACTGTATATAGTCAAAACAAGACAGTCTCTACCTGCGAGCTTGCAGTCTAAAAAAAACAGGATACGCAAGGGAAAAGAGACAGGGAGGGAAGAGGAAAAGCAAAACTTAGGTGCCAGTTTCTAAAGAGTCATTCTTTAGAATGCACAGTTCAGAGGCAGGAGGCACCAGATGGAGCTGGGCTTCCTATCTCTCCTGTCCCACCTGGAATGGCTTCCCCCAGTTGACAGCTGAAGGGAGAGTTCCCTTTTCAAAGTGAGCTCTATAACGAAAGCATCAAACTGTGACATTTATCCCTACCTGTTTGTGCTTTCCCCACAGCCAGCGGTAAAATTGCTGTACAACAGAAGTAACAACAAGTACTCCTACACCAGGTAAAAGCTTTCACCTTCTGCACCCAGGGAAGGTTTATAAGGCCATTTTCTATGCCCCGTGGGAGCTGATGAAACAAAGTGAGGAGGCAGGGAATGGAGTTTTGACTAAAAGTAGAGTTAGGGGGCAGGGGTTTAAAAGAGGCCCCTGGAAACTGGAAGGTGTCCTCATTCCTGTCCTGTTGGCTCAGCAACTCCGATGACAACATGCTGAAGAACATTGAGCTGTTTGACAAGCTTTCGCTGCGCTTCAATGGGAGGGTCCTCTTCATCAAGGATGTCATTGGGGACGAAATTTGCTGCTGGTCTTTCTACGGACAGGGGCGCAAGATAGCGGAAGTCTGCTGCACGTCCATTGTGTACGCCACGGAAAAGAAACAGACCAAGGTGAGTCTTGTTGCTGTTGCTTCCTTGACAACACCCACCCACAACCCAAAATGATATGTAGAAGCAAGTATTTGAGCTTGCCCCTGCAACCCTCTTCTTCTCTCCCCTCTGCCCCCACCCCCACCATAGCCGGGTTGCTAAGTGCTTCCATGCCTAGGCAAGAGGGCCCGGGGGAAGAAGCTTCCTGCCAGACTGCTGACTGAGGATGGTTTCAGGGAACATGTTGGGCCACAGTTAAAACAACGTCACTGGCTACCAGTCTATTTCTAGGCACAATACGGTGCTGGTGATAACTTATAAAGCCCTCTATGGTTGGGCCCAGGCTACCTGAAATATCATCTCTCTCTCTGTGAACACACCCAAGTGCTAAGATCCTCAGGTGAGCACCTTCTCTTGGTCCCATCTCCATCAGAGGCACACTGGTGGTGACCCAGGAGTGGCTGCTCCCATATTGCAGGATTCCCTCCCAAAAGAGGCTAGATGGGCTCCTTCTTTGTCATCCTTCCATTGGCAGGCTCAGAGCTTCCTGTTCCAATGGGCCTCTGGAAATGGAGTTGCGGACGGAGCTCAGGCTGGGCAGATGTCAGGGCAAACTGTAGTTTAACTGCTGGCTCTAAACAGGGTCTGGTGTATTTTAACTGTTGGTTTTTAACTAATTTGTTTTCCTTTGTATTTTATAATGATGTTTTAAAATGTAAGTTGCCCTGAATTCCAGCTTGGGAGAAAGGAATTCCTCTTAACCTCCCTCTGCTTGGGGTGTCCAGGTTGAATTCCCAGAAGCCCGGATCTACGAGGAGACATTAAACATTCTGCTTTATGAAGCCCAAGATGGACGAGGCCCTGACAACGCGCTGCTGGAAGCGACTGGAGGGGCAGCTGGCCGCTCACACCACCTGGAGGAGGACGAGGAGCGGGAGCGCATTGAGCGGGTCCGCAGGATCCACATCAAGCGCCCGGACGACCGCACTCACCTGCACCAGTGAGAGAGAGACAGAGAAGCCAGCCTCAGCCCACAGTCCTGTTGGGGCAAAATCTCCGTCCAGGCTCGCTCCAGTGGCTGCCAGGCACCTAACTTATATTCCATGCGGTCTATAAACTGTTATTTTATAAACAAGTTAGAGTATTTTTGGAATGGAACACAGTAGTTTTATCATGAAAATCCACGAGGTGTCCAGCTTCACAGCAATCCTGTAGACTCGCTCCAGCCTCTGGGAATCAATGCCTGTCTTGGTTTATCCAGCACTTCTTGTTCCTGCTCTCTCGTGCCTTGAGGAATCTTCCTTCTGCAGGGGCATTTTGCAAAGGCAGCCTCCCCCCACCTGGTGCTCTCTGGGAGCTTTGGACTCACAGCTCCCATCCTAATGGAGTTGTAGTCCAAAGCCCTCTGGAAAGGGCTATGTTGCTGGGGATGGCTGTGCTAGCAAAACAAAGATGTTGGCTGCCCTCTCCATCTCACTCAAGTCCAGGGTTCAAGAAAGGCAGCTCAACTTCCACACACCTCCCACTTTCTCTTCTTGAAAGTTGAAACGGAAGAGATGAGCTGCCTCTCAATTCATGCACTGTGACAAAATCTACAGTAGAAACCTCTTTGCTTGCTTTGGCACCAGGTTGCTAATTTCCTAAGTGCAGGTGTAACTTGTCTGTGAACAGAGACAGGGGCACTTTGTATGAGGAAAAGGACACAACATACTTCTAGGATGGAAGGATAATCCTTCCGCTTCCCTCTTTCTTTTTGGACATGGGCAGAGGAGAGGTGGTCCTCTCTTGGCCGCTCTTTAGGGAAATGCAGCTGCAACAGGGCCAAAGTGTTGTCTTGCCTCTTCCCAAGTTAACATTTGGTGTTTGTTTGTTTTTTCTTTCATGCTGTGACAGTTTTTCCACAACAAAAGTCCAAGCAATGCCTCTTCCCATTTTAGTCAGGCTTTTACAATTCTCGTTTTCCCACCCACTTCCATGCAGACAAACCCTGCTGATTTTGGGAGCGCATCTGTTTCTCCTTCCATCCGTCCCATCTTGGGTGTGTAAGTTGCTCTTGCCTGTCTTGTAGGTGGGACAGAAACAAAAATGTGAACTTGCCATGCCACTGTCTTTGCTGTGCCCTGCTCTCTTCTTTTGTAACCCAAGGCATGTCTCAAAAGTGAGAGAACCTACAGCACCGGGTGGGGAGAGCAAGGGGCTGTCCTACGTATCCCTCCAGCCCCAAAATATCAGATGCAGCTTTTGCAAAAGCCAGATTTTCTCCCAGGTCATGTAGGCTCATGTGCATATGTAAAGCCTCAGTCTTACTACTCGGGAGGTGGGAGGCAGTTTAGAGGAGCACCTTCCACATACGAGAATACATTCTCTGTGTGTTGAGGCAGGATGCACGATTATCACCCCTTTTTAATCTACCTCTGCACAATTTCTCTTTTACTTCCATTAGGAAGCAGATTAACCAGAAACCTGTAATGTTGTGTTTGGGACTGAAGTAGCAGGAAAGCCAAAGCATCAAGCTGTTTGCTGAAGCTTAGAGGAGCCCTCCCTGGCCTGGCACCCTCCAGAGGGGTGGACCACAACTCCCATCAGCCCCAGGATCACATGGCTATCCTGGTTGGGACTTATGGGAGTTGTAGTCAGACCCATTTGGAGGGTGCCAGGCCAGAGAAGGCTGAAGTATTAATACGCTGAATATCAAAGTCTCACTTGGCTCATTCCTTTTTGTGTGTTTGGGTCTCTGTCTCATCCTCCCGCAGTTGATGCAGCCCCTCAGCTGCAACTTTCTCCCTTTGCAGGAGAAAAGAAAGACACTGGTTGGTGGTCTTATTTATCCCATTTCATGCCTGTCACTTGTGCAGCATAAAACATTGCGGAACAAAATGGTGTGTCATGATGGTGCTCTGGATGCTCCCAACTCCACATCATCTTGGAGGATTCATTGTTAAAAACATGTTTAAGTATTATAGTAAGTGACATCACTGTAAAACTTGCTCAGTATTTTGACATCCTTAATATGTTACAGCTAAGCTTATCTAGGAGTTGTAGTTCAAGGAAGGCACTTAAGAAACTTCTCCAGCAAGAGTCTGATAACTTCCTCTCTTTATTCTTGTTGTGTACAGCCTAATAAGGGGGGCAATCCTCACATTTTTTGGAAGTGAAAGAAATTGTTGTGTCTGCAGTTAGGGGACAGGATGGTGGGTTCCTGTGAAGCCTTTGCTTCTCGTATCCTACCTTATTCTTATGAATGTGGAAGAACTGAGCCTGCTACACACAGATCCCCAAAGGTAACTATTATTTCCAGGATGGGGTGCTTAGAATCCCACATCAAAGGGAAGCAGTTTCCTCTTCCTGTCAGCCAACCAATTTTGTAACATCAACTCTGCGCATTAAGATCACCTTTCCTTGCCCGTCTTTTAGTTTGAAGGTTTGGAAATAAGCAAGTGAGTGCCAGTGGTTTTAGCTTCCTGGGGCCAGAGGAAGGGGTGGGGTGCAGTTGCCTTCCTCTCCCTGTTCAGTTCTCTGAGCCTTTTAAAAAAATGCTCTTCAATAGAGGGAAGTGCTCTTTGTTTCAATGTCCAGGGGCTGAGTGCATCTTTCAAGATAATCCATTTCTTTGGTGAGACTTTGTTTTCAGGAAAAGGTGGGATCAGTGAAGAAGGGAGGCTGCACATCAGCTGCCAATGAATTCTGCACTGTTCAGTATCATAACAAGGAATAAGGTACTTCTCCTTGGGACAAACAAGACACCTGTGGCCATGGAAGGTTAGGTTTAGGTGGTTAAACCTAGCTGTAGTATTTGCTGCCCCAGGTTCCCTGTAGGCCAAAGGTGGCCCCTTCTCCTCCTCGATTGTTCCCATGTGGGGGCACAGTGAGAGGTGCTTTTTTCATTCTCCCACCTGCAACCAGGAAGCATCCTGACAATCCTGCAGACTTATCATAGAATCATAGAGTTGGAAGAGACCACAAGGGCCATTGAGTCCAACCCCCTGCCAAGCAGGAAACACCATCAGAGCACTCCTGACATATGGTTGTCAAGCCTCTGCTTAAAGACCTCCAAAGAAGGAGACTCCACCACACTCCTTGGCAGCAAATTCCACTGTCAAACAGCTCTTACTGTCAGGAAGTTCTTCCTAATGTTTAGGTGGAATCTTCTTTCTTGTAGTTTGGATCCATTGCTCCATGTCCGCTTCTCTGGAGCAGCAGAAAACAACCTTTCTCCCTCCTCTATATGACATCCTTTTATATATTTGAACATGGCTATCATATCACCCCTTAACCTCCTCTTCTCCAGGCTAAACATGCCCAGCTCCCTTAGCCGTTCCTCATAAGGCATCCTTTCCAGGCCTTTGACCATTTTGGTTGCCCTCCTCTGGACACGTTCCAGTTTTTTTTTGTCAGTGTCCTTCTTGAACTGTGGTGCCCAGAACTGGACACAGTACTCCAGGTGAGGTCTGACCAGAGCAGAATACAGTGGCACTCTTACTTCCCTTGATCTAGATGCTATACTCCTATTGATGCAGCCCAGAATTGCATTGGCTTTTTTAGCTGCCGCGTCACACTGTTGGCTCATGTCAAGTTTGTGGTCAACCAAGACTCCTAGATCCTTTTCACATGTACTGCTCTCAAGTCAGGTGTCCCCCATCTTGTATTTGTGCCTCTCATTATTATTTTTTGCCCAAGTGCAATACTTTACATTTCTCCCTGTTAAAGTTCATCTTGTTTGTTTTGGCCCAGTTCTCTAATCTGTCAAGGTCGTTTTGAAGTGTGATCCTGTCCTCTGGGGTGTTAGCCACCCCTCCCAGTTTGGTGTCATCTGCAAATTTGATCAGGATGCCCTTGAGTCCATCCTCCAAGTCGTTGATAAAGATGTTGAATAAGACCGGGCCCAAGACAGAACCCTGTGGCACCCCACTAGTCACTCTTCTCCAGGATGAAGAGGAACCATTGATGAGCACCCTTTGGGTTCGGTCAGTCAGCCAGTTACAAATCCACTGAGTGGTAGCATAGTCAAGACCGCATTTTACCAGCTTCTTTACAAGAATATCATGGGGCACCTTGTCAAATGGTTTCCTTTAAAGAAGAAGCCTGACAGTCTTGCTACTTTTACTGCTTTCAGAATGAGATCTTGGGGAAGGGCTGCAGCTCGGCTGCAGAGTACAAGGCCCCAGGGTCAGTCCCTGCAGTATCTCCAGGTATCGCTGGGAATGTCCACGTCTGGGACCCTGGAGAGCTGCCACCAGTCAGTGTTGACATATGGAGGTGGGCTGATGGCCTGACTCGGCACAAGGCAGATTCCTATAACCGTGCCAGCAGGGTGTTAACTTCCAGACACAAACTATAGAGCATGAGCTAGAGGTGCAAGGAAAAAGTAGCCCAGCTGCCCCCAAGTCATGTGCAGTGGTAAAGGCCCTCCTTCCACACCATCCACCCTTCCTAAGATATAAGTGGAAGGTGAAGGGGCAGCAGAATGAATGGCTGTACCTTACGTGAAACACTTCAGCTGCCTGAGCAATGGATTTTGTGTCCTGAAATGAAGCCTTGCTGTGGTTGACAAGTGTGGCGAAGGGGCATTCAAGTCCACATCTTGTGTGGGGAAGCAGTCTCCTGCAGCGAGGTTAGAGGCCATGACTGACAGCGGTGGAGGAAGCCGCTCGGGCACCTGGGGCGGTGTGCCCAGGAGTGGGGCGAGCCGTCCATAGGGGCAGGGTGCACCGCAGGGCCTCCGGAGTCTGCCTGCCCCCTCCCACTCTGCTGCCCTACAGCTGGGGGAGGGGAGGCAGCGGGCAGACCATTAGGAGAGCGCAGAGCCTGCACGCACCCAAGCCACCGTCTCTCTCCCAGGCCCCGTGGTGAGTGCCGCCCAGCATTTTGTCACCCCCCTCAGTGGTGACACCCGGGGGCGCTCCACACCCACTACACCCCCCTTCCTCCACCCCTGGCTGCGGGAACAATTTGCCAGCTGCATCCAGTGACAAACACTTTTAAGAGCAGCAGTGGACCCTTCCTCTGAGCAGCAGCAGAAATTCTCCCCCACAGCTTCAGTTTCACAGCCTTCATTCCAATGCTACAAGGTAATATTTGCAGAGCAAAGTTTCTATATTTAAGTCTGTATGTATGTATTTTATGCAGGTCTGAAAATATGCAAAATAAATAGGTGTTTTGCCAATTTCCAACTTGTTGGCTGTTCCTTTGTTTCTCTTGCAGGCAGCTAACAAATGTAGCCCAATACTTTTTGCAGGAAGGTGGATCAAAAATGGTTTGGGCTGCTGGGCCAAAGTTTGCCAGGAGGTGGGGAGATCTCCCTCCCATGCAAGAAGCAAGCACACAATTGAGAGACGACTCAAATGCAGTTACACAAGCAGGCCCTAATTTTTTGGCAGATAGCACCAGAAGACCGTTCCAATTCAGGGCTGCTCCACACCTGCTGGTTCAATCCATCGGAATCTGGGTAGCATTGGGAGAGCTTTGTGGCTGGGAGATGCAAGACTCCGTTCAGCAGCTGAACTTGCAACATTCACACACTGAAGTCTCCATTTGGTAACTGCAGTCACTAGGGCAGTGGTTTTCAAAATTTTTGAGCCCATGTCTCCTGTGACCAAGCCCTGGGGGATACAAGGGAATCCCCACTTGTGGCAGTGGCTGGCTGCTGGCGGGGAAGGTGTGCTTCGCCTTTGCCAATCAGAGCAACCAGCCTGTCATTGCTGGACCCCTGAGGATCTTCTAGGGCTTCCTCAGCAGAGCTGGACAAATGGATTCTGGATTTATTCTGTTTCTCATTTTCCCGCTCTTAAGTTCAGTTTGCCTCATTTCCACAAACATTTGCATTTTTTAAAAAGACACATTAAAATTAATGCACACTTTTGTGCATTGTTCCCCTAATACACCATTTGCATGCAGCTTTGCAAGCAATTTCCCCTTACAGAATGCATTTTGTACGTTAATTTCACCAATATGCATTTTTATACACATTCCTTGATTGATTGAAGAACTGCAGATCAACATTCAGGGAAGTGTGGATTTCAAAGGTAAAGAGGGTTTCAGTTTACATACTGGTTTAGGAGCTGCAAATTTGGCAAGTGTGCCTTTCTCCCCATTCCTGCTCCACATGTAACAAAAAGGTGACTGGTCCAGAAGAAGCCTCTGCTGGCCACCTTACTTGGCTTTCAGACAGAGCTAGAAGGAGACTTTAAAACCAGTCAGGAACTAGTTCTATTATTATTATTTTTTTGGGGGGGGGAACCCTACAAGATAATTTCAAAGCCATGTTTCTCTAGTCTTTTTAATTCACATTGCCACTTACAGTCACATGTTGCTAGTATAGAGAGGAACACGGAGGCACGATTTTGACTGCAGAACCTTCCCCCACCCCACCCCACCTCCCTTTGGTGGGCCTGTGGCTGCCCAAGCAGCTGCGGGGATCTCAAGGTTCCCCCAAAAAACAGCGCCAGAGAAAAATGAGGAGAGTTGTGTTCCAAAACCCTGAGGGACAAGAGCTGCCTGCCTCGCATTCCTCCGGCTGTAGGATTCAGCTTTACAGATTGCCATTACGCTTCCAGCCCTGTAATGGGAAGAATACTTTTCCCAGAGTGCAGAACTTCCTCCTTCACTTCTAAGGTGCAATTTTTTTCTGAGGCTTTCCCCCCTTGGACCTATTAAGGAAATCTAAGGAAATCTGTAACTGTTGACTTAGATTACAGGCAAGTTATCACAAAAATATAGCCAGTTATTGGGAGTATTCATACAGTCAGTCATGGGATCTGCAACAGTCCTATGGCATCAAAACACTCTTTGTAAGCATCAGAATTATAATATGGGCTCTGCTCCTCTCCACCGAGGAGTTTGGGCTACTTTCTCTTTTGAACATCAGCGGTTAACAGGCAAAGGTGGAACATGTGCTTCCATCAGGATGTTATTCTGGGTGATACCTGTTGGATTTAAACATAGAAAGATTTTTTAAAAAAATTAGATGCTTCTCTTCTCATTTTGCAGCCCCTGCCTAAACAGAAGCACTGTTACTTGAGAGTCCTGAATTGCAAGATGTTAGACTAGATGATCCTCAGGGTCCCCTTCAACTCTACAAT